ATGGTTTAACAAATGCTCTGTAGGCAGACACTGCAGCTTAGCTCCCAGTATCCACACTGCCTTGGTTCAGTTGTGCCAGGCAGCTGCTGTGGTGGGCTTCATTTTACTAATTCAGTTCAGCAGCAGCATCTGGTTCTCTTGCAAGCTGAAGTGTTGGGCATTAGCTCTAACGTTGAGCAGGTCCTACTGCACACACTGCAGACCCAGTCTGACTTGTGAGCAGGGCTGCATTGCTGACAACACACTGCTGTGTCCCAGAAAGGACATCCAGACCAGGGTATCCTCTTCTCAGCCACCTTGCTATGCTGATTCTGTTAATGAAATTGGAACTTGATTGAATTACACCAAAATCCCAAAGCTAGTTCAAACTAAGTAGATTAACAGCAGTAGAATTGGGCTTGCTGTCTTACATAGATCCAGTGTCAAATTCTTTGGGATTTTAATCCTGTTTTCTGGTATTGGGGCTGCTGTGTTCCACTCAGGATGTGGAAGTGAAGCTTCTTAGAGTGCATACTAGGCAAGAATTTCAGGTGAGGTCTGTCCTGCATCTTGCTTCTGTATAACCACAGAGACTGGTCTGTCTTAGTGTGTGAGAAATGTACAAAGACCTGGAAATCCTCGCTGTTCCTGAGGCTCTGGCCATGTAGAATGAATTGGCAGAACACCTCGATTCACCCCCACCCCCCCTCCCAAACTGGGCAGGTGACCTCTTCCACAGGAAGCATCCTGCTGTTCCTGATGGCAGGAACCTGTGGCAGGAGCAGCCTGCAGGAAGTTCTGAAGGCGTATTGCTGTATCCTGTGCCTGCAGAAGAGACAGCAGCACAGCTCCTCTGTGGCTTGAACAGCTCTGCTGGAAGGGCTGCAGGACCAAATTCATGTAGGCACCTGGAGAACTCCACCTCACAGTGCCCTGTCTTAAAAGCACTGTCCTTACAATGCTGTTTCCAACTAACTCCACTATGACACATTAAGTGTCTCAGCTGTATTCTAACAGTGTGTATTTTGTTGCAGCAGATTGTGTCATTGTACTTGTTCCATAATGAATCCCAATTGATCTGACAGTGAAGTACATCAGGAAAATCAAAGCTTGTTTTCCTGCATAAAGTCTACTCAGCGTGGCATTTTTCAAATACAAGCATGAGAGTGTATTTAAATGTTTCATTGATTACTTGGGAGTTTTAAATGAGAGAGATTGGCTGGGATAACTGAAGTGAGGGCAAAGCATTTGTAAAGTATGAATATCAGATGGCAAAATGCTTCATAGTGTAGTGAAATCTAAAAGCTGTAATTTCATGCCATGAGTAGTACGTGAGTGAGGTGAATGATGGTGTAAAGACAGAGCACCACATGCTATGAAAGCTTTCCCTACTCAAGGACTAAAATAAAAAAGACAAGTTTAAGGCAGTACATTTTCCTCAGTGCAGAACTCTTGTGCCAACTGCAGGTTAATTTTGGGTCTGGCTCATAATAGTAAGAAGCATTACAGTGCTTGATGACAGATGTGCAGGCTTATATTGGTCACTTAGGCTGATGGTGGTAATTCTGGAAGAGCTATGTGAAGAAAGGGGAAGGGTGGGTGGGTGGGGATGGGGCTGGAGAAAGTTCATTGAGTCCAGGCATGTGAACTCTGAGACTGACTGCTTCCTTTCTTCCAGTTTGAACAGGAGAACCAGAGGCTGGTTGGTGAAATGAATAACCTGTTTGATGAAGTCAGGTATGGTTTTCTGTTCCTTGGACAGATAACTGCTGTAACCAGGATAACATCCATGCACGGTGACTGCTGTGGGACACTGTGCTGCAGGGGCTTATCTACCTGTATGGATTTACATGTCCTGTTCTCTCACAGTGTGAAGACAGGTTCCAAATTTACATTAAAGTTACTCAAAATAGTGCTGGTAAAATGTGGAAGGTTTACATTCTCTCTCAGCTAAGTTGTAAAAGAGTGAGCTGTCTGTTGCAGATGCAGTGCTAGGGGAGGTGCTTATCGGATGGAGAATCTAAACCTGAGGCAGGGAGAAATTCTTGTGTGAGCTTCTAACGGAGTATTTCTTTTCTTTGCCAAGGCAAATTGAAGGAAAAGTGGTAGAAATTTCCAGATTGCAAGAGATATTCACTGAGAAAGTCTTGCAACAGGTTAGTAAAACTTGATGTTACTGTAGCAAATACTGCTTTAAGGTTTTCCTGGGTGTATTTTGCTCTTGGTTATATGCAAGATTTAAACACAAGATTAATGATTTTTTGACATAACTGTGAAGGGAAAGGTTTTTTTAGGGTTTTCTTTTTAAACCAAAATCCCGAATGGTAACCACTACTGTTACATGCTGGTGCATACTGGAAATGGAAAATGCAATGTCTTGGACTGATCTCTCTGAAAATTAGTGTTCTGTCTGGTGTGTTATGTAACAGCAGATTTCTGTCAGTTCCAGAGGAACTGTCAAAAATGAGACAGCTTAGATTTGATTGTAGGTAAGCAGGGGACTTTCTATTGATCTTGGTGGCCTCAGCTCAGACTCATAAAGACACAGATGATTAAAAAATTACAGCTTAATTACTTCTGTGCCTTTGCTTCGCTGAAGGCAGCATAAATGAAGCTGCAATGTTAATAAGATCAGATTTTATTTTACTTTTGAGTTCTTTCCAGACCCTTACTGGTGTTTTTGTATTTTTTTTTTTTCTTTCAAGCTTTGTCAGTGTTTCTTATTTTTATTATTCTTAACAGGAAACTGATATTGACAATATCCATCAATTAGTTGTGGGCGCAACAGAGAATATCAAGGAAGGCAATGAAGACATAAGAGAGGTGATGTCTCTAAATAATGTTTCTAAAATTGACTTCTTTCTCCTACAGTTCAGTTTTGCCCAAGTGTTACTCCAACAAGCTGTGCACACAGCACGTTTAGTGTGTATTGTGGTACTGGGATGTGATTTTTTGAAAAGCTGTGAAGAAACGTAGCTGACTTAGTTTGTGCTGCTTGCCTTGCTAACCATGACTGAGTAACTGTATGGGCCAGCTGAAATCTGCTTCGTGTTACCCTGTTTTGAAACAAACATCTCCCTGCGCGTGCATTCAGGCACCTCTGAAGTTTGTGTCCTTTTGTTGGTTTTGTTTTCCAGTTTCTTTAGCTTTAGAAAAAAAAAAAAAAAAAAACAAAAAACCAAAAACGTTTTTTGGGCCTGAAAGACAGTACTGGGACTGTTGAAACTGGAGTTCAAGGTTAAGCTTTATCAGAAGTCTCCTTACCATGCTGACCACATCTCACATGTGCCCAGTAAACAACTCTGTCCCATTGTCCTACTGATGAGAATGAGATGATGATTTATTCAGGAACTGAGACTTCAGTAACGACAGTTCCTAAATTGGGCTCTGGAGTAAATAGCTCAGTTTCTTGTCCCTTTTCTTTATTTTTTTTCCCTCTCATGAAAGTACACAGAATATGTAGTTAAAGGATGCATTACCTACTACTCAGCTGGTCAGAAGCATGCATCAAAAATATATTGGCGAGCATGACTTAGCTACTTAAAACTTCTGTCTCGGGAACTTGTTTCCACATTTCTTCGCTTCTTCAAGCAGTTTCTTCCACTTCTTCTAGTATCCTTTTCAGTGGCTGTCTACAAGGTGTGGTGGTATGGCACATGGTGGGGAAGATGGGAGGGATTTTTTTAGTTGTGGTGGTGTTTTTATTTTCTTTTTTAAAACTAAAATCAATAGATATACTAATGTTTAGCATACAGTTACTGTGCCATTAAATTGTGATTAAATACCTGACTTCAGGTAGGGCACTTGAAGGGTACAGAGATGGCAATGGATTGTCCCAGTGTTTATGGTCAAAGATTGGTATTTACAGCATGGCATCGACTTATTTTTGTAGGCAGAACCAAGTTTCTCAAACTACACTGAGAAACAGTAGAGAAAGGTCATACGAAACACTTCTGTTACTGTTTTGTCCACGTGAAAAATTCTCTACTATGCAAAAATCAGAAAACAGAAAACAAGTCCCTATGATCTGCCAGCCTAAATTTTTGGAAGGAAAACTCTAGGAAAAATTTGCTCTATCTTGTTTAGTTGATCTTTGCCCTGCTTGTTCTGAGACCAAAACCCAGCCTTTACAAACAGCTGCTCTCAGATTTTTGTGTTAGGCATTTGTTTGTTTTTCAATTGAAGAATTCATTAGAGAATTTCACTTTCAGAACTTACAATTAACCTCTAAGTGTGTACATTTTGATTTAGTTCTTTGTTTTGGCTGTATTTCTATTGTGTGCAATCTGAATGTTGTTTTTTTCTTTTTGAATCACCATCTTTAAGACTCAGAGAGAAACAGTGTGATAAACAAAGAGAAGTATAACCAACCTGAATGTTACCCACCTGAAATCAATGGCAAGCTTTGTTCTTGCAGTACACACTGAAACCACTGACAGTCATCTTGGGCTGCCTTTGTGGAAATATGTACTGTACCTTTACCAGTGATGGTAACCAAGATAATCTTTTTCTCACAGGCAATCAAAAACAACGCTGGATTTAGAGTATGGATCCTTTTTTTCCTGGTGATGTGTTCATTCTCCTTGCTTTTCCTGGACTGGTATGATAATTAATTAAAAATACCATGTTGTCTACATGCTTGGTAAAATCTCATGGCTCTTTTTTTCTTCTGTTGAATGGAGTATAGGATATACCTGTATATTTTATGCATTTTTTTCATACTGCTATGATGGAAATATTTTCTAACAGCTAAGCACAACCATATGTCCCTTAAGGCAGAGAGAGGGTAGCATTCATTTTAAATCCCTTTATCAGATCTGAAACCACACTTAATCCTGCACACTTAAACCTCTGAAAGAACTCCTAAGAAAGCTGCAAGCTGGAGCACAGCTAAAGGGAAAATTAAAAAAAAGAAAAATTCTACCATTGTCAGAGTCAACCCACAACTCTGATGCTTTAAATCCAGTTCCCAGTGCACAGAACAGATTGAGAGAATTGTTGCTGTGTGCAAAAGCATCTACACTGTCTCAGGCTTTTATTTAATCATACTACTTCAATACACAGTGATCATTTTGCAGGTGTATTATGACCTCTGCTTCTAATCCTTGGAAACTGTTTTGTCATGTTGATTTAATAATAATTTTAAAAATCAGCTACAGAGCTTTACTGTGGGGTGTGAAGAGAAAAAGCAATGCAGCCAACCAGACTGCAGAAAACAGATGGTCTGAGTGCTGGAACAAAGCCAAAGGATAGACAATATTAAAGCCAAACCCTTCAAAGTACTGAACTTGGGAGCAATTTGTTAACTAAAGAAAGTCCCCAAACCAACTGTAGATAAGAATCAGTAAACTTCATCCTGTTAAATCAGAGGAAAAACTCCTTTGGCTCTTGAATGCAGAGCAGTCACTGTCTCTTAGATTGTACAGCTCCATGTTTTGTGATGTTTGTTGTCATGAGAGAAGTAAGGTTTCTTATCAGTACTTACTTATGCATTAAAGCTGTTCTTAGTGTGCTAAATTTTAAAGGAGGAGGATGTACTGTGGATCATTTCTATGTAGGACAGTCCTGGGGAAGAAAACTTTCCCTCTTGTAACATCTGAATGGCTTCTGTAACTGTGGTGATCAACAACTGTTTTGTTAACTCTCTTCTGACATGCATATCCAACTTACAGGCATATGCAACGAGAAAATCATTCTTTACAGAGTGAAAATGTCAAAAGTTACATTCAATGAAATATAAGCCTACTAGAAAATGCAACTGGGGTAATTTTGAAAATCTGAACATAAGTCTGTAGTTTTTAAATGCAAGGTAACATTTGGCACATAACTTAATGCTTTTAAGCATTCCACCTACAATTACTTAAAAATCCCTTTATGAGTACTACTGTGTAATTCATACTTCATATCAAATTAAGTAATAATGGTTCTTTTTACTGTACTGCTGAAAGAAAGGCTGTTGATAATGTGATTCTACCGGAGAAAAATAAAAGCAGAGCTGACAATGTTCTACTCTGCATCCTGATGTTTTTCCTTCATTTTTGTGTAGTCTCTACCAAGGGAACTTCTTGACATGTCCACTAGAAGCTGTTGCATTTAATAAAATGAAAAAGAAAGGGTATCTGCTTACCCACATACTTCACACCCTTGTCTGTTAAATTAATGATGCCTTTTTTGTAATACATTTAAGATTTATAATAAAAATGAAAACATGGTTTCACACAAAGAATAGTTAAGTTTGTAATTACAATGGAACTTGAACGTGCATCCACAATACTATGTTCTTCTACATCTTTGTCCATCCCAAGCCATACATAAACAGTTCTACTCTTCACTCAGTTTCACATGGAGCTTTCCAACAGCCACTTGTGTTACTAAGATGCTACTGTTTTGATGCTTTGTGTTTAAAAAGTATCAAACCGCAAACCATACATGAACTGAAAGCTCTAATTTATAAAAAGGGTAAATGTCAATGTAACAAAAGAGAAAATTCAGATACATCACTCCCTCTGCTGTATCCATCAAGTTACATAGCGGGCTACATCTACTGTGAATAGGCTTTCTGCCTTTTAAGTACGATCAAAAGATGTCACTTCTCTTTCAAACATCCTTAACCGTATATTCTTATGCTATCCTCAACATCCATCACTAGAATTGTCTGTGTTTTTCCATAGTGTCTATCTAGTTTGTGTTTCAGTGCACATCCTTACCAAGATGCTAAAGCCACAGTGGAAATGCAGTTAAATCCTGTTGACAGCAATAATAAAACATTGAGCATGCCTTCTCGCAGGGAACTTCGTTATCACTTACAAATAAATAACAGAAAAGAAAATGTAAGAAAAATGCTACCTGACACTTTTTTTTTTTTCCTTTCTCCATACAAGTCATTACATTATGCCCTTGACATCAGTGCTGATTATCATTTTTGCTTGAGCCAAAACTAAACACTAAGCACAGCTCTCAGCTAAACAAGAGATCACTCTAGTTATGGCTGTGGTGTTTCGGTTTGCAAAATGACTAACAATAAAAAATTAATAAAATATCAGTTCAGACAACAGAACACATTTTAAGGTCTCAGCCCTGAAAATCCAGAGAAGAAATCTGTCAGTATCCAATAAACTGCAAGAACATATCTGTTGTTTTTTTTTTTTTAAACATTGAAAACGGTGTCAAAGCTCTAAAGCAATGCTGATACGCATCTTGTTTTATGCCCATGAATGTTCTGCAGCATGTTTTTTTGTTTTTGCAAAGCAGTATCAGCAAACAGAAGCAATTGCACCATAAACATGAGTAACCTCTAAATTATCCATAATTATATTTAATGAAAAGTTTCTTAAAGTCCCTTAGTTACCTTCAAATGACATAGTGTTAATAATTAGCTTATCACACTAAGCTGATTTCTCAGCGGCTTCAGTCTCCTGCTCAGACAGTTTCTCTTCTGACAGTACTGTCATCCACGGGGACACTGAGCGCGTGATGGTTTGCTTGGCCAGATTGTAGTGGTTTATGACTGTGTAAAATTTCCCTCGAGCATTGGAGTCTTGTTCAGAGTAGTAGTTTTCCAACCCAGCTGGAATGCATTGATTATTCTGAAAAGAAAATCCATCACTTAGATTACAGATGCAGTCCCACACACGATACATGTTTTCTCTTTTCCTTCGAGTCTAAGCAAACATTCAGTCTGTGACTCAGGATGCAACATACAGCAATTACTACAACGTTGTCCTAATGTGTTCAAACTGTTCTTCCCTGTAATCCTTAGGCCTCACATAGCATTTGCCAGAAAGCCCAGTCTGTGTCTATAGTCCGGAATAATTAAAGGACAAAGAACTTGTATGCCCCATACTTAAACTCCGTGTAAGTACTCAGTCTCTTGTTGCAGATACATTTTGCTTTTTCTTTCTTTCTCCTTCCCGTTTACTTCCAAGTGGTCAATTTACAATTACAGATTCTGCATTCTAGCATTACATTAGCTTCATGCAATCTACAGTGCTTTCAGTCTGTGGGATAGAAATTAATACAGCGATGCCAAGTTATGGCCAGTTTTACAGCCTAATAAATAAGGCACAAAAGGAAAACATTGCGTCCAGCTGATGTGTATACACACCCACACAAACACAGTTCTTCACTGCTGATTTTCAGAAAGATGAAGTCAGTAGCAGGCTTTTAAAATCTATCTTTAGCTGTGGTGCTACATTATTTAATTCCCCAGAAGTTTAAGAGCACTACAAAGAAACTCCTCCATGCTCAGACCTTTGGAAAATGAACTACCTGATTTAGACAGTTAAATACTAAGTAGAGACTTTGATGTCGTCTTAAAAACCAAGTCTGTACAGTGGATGGCACTGAGCCACCCTTCCTGTGATGATGCAGTAAAAGCCTATGAAGCAGCAAATCACACTGAAGGAAACAATGATTTAGACAGATCCTGCTGACCCCGAGTTTTGCTCCGAAAGGGTATGGGACTCCTCACTGCTCTTCTGCCATATCTGCCAGGCTGAGCACTTTTGCCTGAGATCCTCAGGGTGCTGCAGCACTCTAAGATCCACACTGAGCACCTGCAGCTCACGCCAGCTCTAGGAAATGACTGCAATTGTTTCTTTGCTGACTCATTTCAGAAGAAATGATCTTCTGTGTCCAACACCAAAGACTAAAATTTGTAATAGTGCAGGACAGCAGTACTGCTGTCATTAAACTTGGCAAGAAAGTCTTTATACTGGAAATTTCTGAGCACAAAAACACAAAACTGTCATGGTTTTTATGACTAAATGCTATCTATCTATCTATCTCATATGCATACACATTTACTATGAATGCACACCAGTTTTAAGTCATCTAGCACAAAATGGCTGGGCAGCAGATGGAGCAGACAGTCCTAGGTAAAATAAATTTTGCATCCCCAAAAACACTGAAGAGAATAGTATGAAAGAACATTGCTGAAGCTATCAGCCTGTGGGTAGTCTTACAAACCCACTTACCTGATGAGTACAATACAGTCCTGTGGCAAACTGGAAGGAAGGCTGAAGATGAACAGTCCTCCCAGGAGTTAACAACTCATCAATCCTAACCTGCTTTTGTGATGGAAGCTTAGATGGGCTGCCCTGTCCCTGAAGGTGTTCAAGGTCAGGCTGGATGGAGCCCTGGACAACCTGGTCTAGTATCTGACATGGAGATTGATGGCCCTGCCTGCAGCAGGGTGTGTGGAGCTTCATGATTCTTGAGGTCCCTTCCAACCCAAGCCATTCTATGATTCTACTATTCTATGCATGTCAGACTTGAATCAGCATTGGAAGTTAGCATTCCAACCAGGCTCACCTTATCGTTTTTTCTAACATAGCAGCCAGGGCAAAACTTGCCTTCAAGTTTTATTTGAACTAGAAATACGAAGCAGGCAGGATTTAACCCGGAGAAGCAAAGACATTGGCTGTTCTGCACTTCGTAAGGCACAGAGGCTTCCCTGCAATCATCATCGATCATTCCACATGTGTCAGCTGCAAGCCTGGGACCTGCATTTCAAAAACAACTTTCAAAAGTACAACTCTGGCACAGAGCTACGTGCTGTGCACATTCACCTACATCACCATGCCATCTTCTGTTAGCATTATCCATGCTTTATCTGGGATAACTGACACGTCTTCTGATGTGATAAAATGACTAAGTAGTACTTAAACACAGACCTCTTTGTAGTGATTATTTCTCCCAGTCAGAGGATGTAGTCACAACTCTAAATATTTAAAATGGGAGAAGGAACACAATCCATTGATCTAATTAAATCTGCCAAGAAAATTCAAGCAAATGGAATATAATTATTAGTGCTGAAGACAAGCCAAGATTACTGCCAGTCTAAAAAAAAAAACAAAAAACCACACACACACACACAATCTTTTGTTGCTTAAAAGGAGCAATTTGCTTTTTAACAGGCAAAATGACTCAGTAATGTTATTTTTTTTGTAGTCAAAACCCCACAACAGCTGACAGGAGAACTTAAAGAAATACACAGCAGAGATCCCAAGAGTTCCCATCTTGACTGAATTTTCTGCTCACAGGATTTCATGCTTCTAGAAAAGACAGACAAAGCCTCCCCTTTTACTCTGCTCCTTCTCTGCTGCCCAAGGACAACTCCTTTGCTTAGCATCTCATCAAGGCAAGCAGTGCACACTCAGGAGTTACTGAGCTGCAAGAACTGGTGCTGATTCTCTGCTCTGACCTTCAACTTAAACAGAACATTCTCCCTCTCCCCTCTTCCCCCCCCCCCCCCACTGGTTTCCAAGCATGAGAAGTAATAACAAAGGCTGTGAGGAGAAACTGGGATACTCCAGAGTGAGTTGTCAGTCTCCTGTTTCTTTCCTAGCCCTTCTATTTCAGAAGTTAGTTGTGAGTTAAGGGTTCTGATGCCAGAGAAAGTTCTGGTTGCCAGTCTGTGTTTGGCTATATTAGGATGACTCCTTTTGTCGCCCAGGGGCATTAATATGTCACAATAGTATCTTCTCTCCTATTTGCTGGGTCAGTATTCCAAACTTAATAGATGATGGTGTTATCTCTAATGCACGGAAGTGACTCTCTTGTACTGTCCATGGATCTGACAGAAGGCAAGTGTCTCTGCAATGAAAGGGAAGAGGAACAGATGCAGCAGGGAGCACCCTGAAGCTCTGAAGAAGTTTCTCCAGGATCTGAATGTGCTCAGGTCCTTGAGGGCAGCTCTGGTGAGTCTCACCCTGAGCCAGAAAGAGTGCTGCTGAGGAATCCACACCACAACAGTACTATGTCTGCATCAGCTTCAACAAGCACAGATTTGCAACTCAGGCAGTTTAAGTATGTTATAGAGAGGAAAACAAGCACCTTTTTAATTACACTTACAAGCTGTGGATGTGTAGGACAGCAAAAAGGTTGAAGACACTGAAACCTTTGGAACTGTTGTGTTTATGTTAGCATCAAGGCAGAGAATCACATATTTGACTCACGGCTGCAGTAGCTCAGCCTGTATTCAGAGGCTCCCATGGCACCAGGCTTCCACAGGGAGGAAACATCTACCCTTACCAAGCAAATCACATCAGCATCAAAAGCCTGGTGATGCCAGGCCAGAGCGTATCACTCAGTGCAGCTGAAGCATAAAGCCTGTCCACAGAGAGACTGGTCACAAGGTGATCACAGCTGGCTGTAGGCTTCTGCTTCATCTCCTAGGACATATGTGCCAAGCCATGCCAGCTGATGTTACAGACTCTCTCAAAAAAGACATGCAGGCAACAAATACAAATTCATGTCAGCACTGCTGTTCGAGGCCAGGTGTCATTTAGTGACTTGTTTATGCTATAAAAAACTCTTAAGAATTCCATGTCCAAAGATGCCATGCCTCCTGGCATTATGCTGTCAAGCACCCAGGAAACAGCCTTCACAAAACCCAACACTGGGAGAACAATAGTAAAGCAGCCCTGTTATGTGCTGCACCATTTATGCACTGTAAAGCACCAGCTGTGAGGGGTTCTCCCTAACTTGGGTTTCAGACAGGATCCTGAGAAACCTGATCAGATGGTTCTTCACACACCATGCAACTGAACACAGCTCACAAAACTCTTCTCCTCTTAAATGTTTGTGATGCTAGAAGGAAAAGGCAGAAGAAGCCAGAATGCTGCAATTCAAAGGAAGGGAAGACATGGTGAGAAAGGACACAGAAGCACAGACCGTCACTGGGAGCACATAACTGGCCGTGCCTGTCAAGTCAGGATCACATCAAGGTAGGCTCTGTAGGAACATACAGTCCATATTCCAAATGGCTCAAAGAGAACACGTAGAACAAAAGCCTGTCATCCCTTGAGACAGGAGCAGAGACATTTCAGAACTTGTCTGAGACAACTCAAAAAATACAGCAGAACCAAGACCTGCGTCCCACATTACTGCCGAATGTTCTAAGCACCATATCTCATCTTTGAGCCAAGGGAAAACTGGATCAAAACTGAACAGGACTGTCAGGAGCACTGAAGCAGCCAGTCTTTCTTACATCATTTTGAAAATCATTCCAGGTACCCGCCGTTCATTTAGGTGACTAAGTAATCTTAATTAGAGGGAAGAATGCCATAAGCACTGCTGCTTTTTTTAACACATGACACCTGAGTTCAACCCTGTTACATCTCTCAACAGACAGAAATCAATACTACCTTTTGGACTTCTAGCTCAGATCCAGCTGAGAAGCCAGCACTACCACCTTGTAAGAATTAAGTGAGCCCCAGCCTCCCTTATTTTTTCCAATAAATGTATTTTCCCTTTTTTGGCATCCCTTCTGGCCCGTGGCAGCAGGGCTCAGAGGTCTCTGTTCTAGAACAAGGAGTTCTTTCTATAAAAATAAGGTAACTGCTACTCTAATGAGACCATCACTTCAGTCTTTCTTTGATATATATTCCAGAGTCTTTTCCTCCAGGTCTTTAGATTTATTGCTCTCCCCTTTCCTATGACACAAGAATTTGGAGAAACATGCAACATCTAATTGTATGACCCAATAAATGAATGCTTTGCTCAAACCGCTGCAGATGAAGGAAATCTGAAGGACACCAGTGTTGATGTTTTTGCAACGTTCACAACAGCAAAAATAACAAGTGTGTGAAATCTGTGTGGTAGTCACAACCAAATTAAGCAGAAAGAAACACATCTAAAAGCAGTCTAACCTTTGGAAACAACTATGAATTTCCATGCAATACAGCATGACTTCACAAAGGCTATGCACAAAACAGCACAGATTATATTACAATATTACATACTCTCCCCTATTTTTCTACAATGTGTGCACAATTTACCTTGAAAACAAATCCTTCTGGACAGGTATGATCGTACTTGTAAACCTTGTAGACTACCAGAAATACAACACAAGTTAAGAACGCAAGGGCGAAAAGGACCAGCACAGTTACCTGCAAAGAGAAATACAACATGTTCATGTTAGTAATGCACTGCTTAATACATTGCTGTTACTGTAGGCAGCAAAAGCCAGCTATGAAAGAGTTGTACAGGAAAATCAAGCAAAGGCTAAAAACAGCTACTTAATCATGGAGGGAGAACGGGAAAGGAGTACGAGTGCTTCCACCTCCTGCTTCTCGCTGATGAAGGCAGATGATGCACATAGAGTAGCCCAGTGCCTTCGTGCTACCAGGCTTTTTCAGATGCTTTTCTTTACAGTACACACAGGAGGGCAGAAAGACTCACAGGGGTGGTTTGGGTGTGCTGATTTTTTTTAGTATTTAGATGATGGAAGTGTAAATCCCGTTTATGTCAGATGATAAGCATGTTGGTTTTCCTCATACCTGCTCAAGAATGGAGTCAGATGCCAAAATGTTAACACAGGTGGCATCCAAATAATACAAAGATGGCTTTAGCGAGGCAAGGAGAAAGCAATGTCTGCCCACTATTGTTAGATAAGAGTTTGTTGCACCTGCTGTGAATGTATGGGCTATACACCAGTAGTCCACATGTAAACCAATCAATACTCCTTCAGAAATCTTGTTTGAACCAGTACTGCTTCACCACACAATGACTGCACAGGAGTCACTTCCAGACCCATAAGGAATACACCATGTTCAGCACAGGGCTGCCTTGACAAGTTCAGGTACAACTGTTCTACAAATCGATGCATCGCAGATTGCACTGTGTGTGTGGCATTGACTTCACCATGTACCTCTCTTATCCTGAATTTGAGCTGCAGCAAAAAACAGGATACCTGAAGTTGAATCAGAAATCACTGATCACTGCATCACTGCCAAGCTAACATTACCCAGGATTAAGCTGTGAGCAGCTGGAGATCAGGCAGCCTTTTAGATGAGATGGGAGACGCAACCTGAGGGGTGTGTGAGCTGAGCAAAGAGCACTGGTTACCTGGGGGAATGTCCCAGATGTCTGTCTTTATTACTCTAAAACCTCTACTGATAGAAATGAGTAGCTTCTGGAAATCACAGGAAAAGCAGAATAAGAGAGTGGGCGAGAAGCCAACATGTGCCACAGCATAAAAATAAACAGAAACAAACTTATGTGATTAATGAATCAAATGTACAGCGTTATCTAAATTTTAAAAAACAGAAGTAATAACCTGGTTCTTCCAAATACCACTAAAAGATTGCAGCTTTGTCTATTGGCGAACAAATAAAAATACAAATCAACTTCACCTTCCCCTTCTGATAAGCCTAGGATGCTGAAGGACTCAGATGAACTTTTATAGATTTGTCATCCCAAGAAAGTTAACTTCACCATGGACAAACAACAGGGAGAGCAACATTTCCTGGCTGAAACAAGACTGGGAAGTAGCATGCTGCTGAAGCTAAGGATTTTTGATAGAAAGAAAAAAAATGTAATAAAAGGAGGGCCAGAGGGGAGGGCAGGGAGAAGCACAGATCAAAAAGCAAATTAGCGGAATAAATGTAAATATTAACGTAACAATGCTAATCTAAATGAGACACAGTGCAAATGACCTTTCTGGTTAATAACATCTTCAGTTTCTCAGAACAGACGCTGAATTAAAAGAAAAATCATATTCTTAATCACCCTCTGAAAACCACAAACTGACATCAGTTTTCAAATCCAATTAGCCTTCTCCAAGTTTGTTACTTATGGACAGATAGCTCTGCCATGCCAACCTTGCATTTCCAGCCATGGCTCAGGGTACTGTGTGTGAATCCAAAGGAAGCACATCTTCCTTCCTGGTCATCTTCTGTGGCACAGTTCAGTAACAGCCCCTCTCCCCTCACACCTGGCAGCCCTACCAAGCCATGCCTTACCTTGGCCCTTCCCATATGTTTTATCATGCCTCTCCCTTTTTTCTTCTACAGCTGTTTGCAGCCCCTTCCTGTGCGTCCCCAGCCATCCCACCAAGAAACACCCACGTTGCCCAATCCAAGCTGCAGGTTTGGGATCACTCACCTCCCAGCCTACAACCCACTGGCACTAAGTATATGTGGCACTGTCCCACTCACTCTGATGATCACTGCTTTTTCCTTAGAAAATGACACAGAGAAGAAAGGGTAAAGAAGTACTAAAGAGAAAACAAAATTCCAGTGGGATTATTGCCAAGGCCTCCATGCCATCCAAGATGTGTTCCACACAGCCTTCAAGAATGCCTGTTCTCTGTAGAACAGCTCTGTGACACGAAACACAGACATCAAAAGAAGAATTGCTGTGGTACAGACTGGTTCAGCTCACAGCCATCACAGCCACAGACAAGAGTAAACAGTTTCCTAATGTTATTAATTTTGGTATTAGCATGTAAATTTTTACTCTCATTATCCCCAATAATTTGCAATCAGACTCCATTTGCAAATCCCTAATCAAGTAAGCTCTTGTCTCCTTCCTAACCACCCATCAGGATACAAGTAACGTGTACTTCAGTAAAGGACAGCTGCACGTGCCAGTGACATGGATAGAAATCCATCACTGGATTCCAAGATGATCCTATCACCTGTTTATCCAATTCATTTCTCTCCTGTAAAATCCTTCTCTTCCTCCTACTAGCTGTTTCCCTTCACTCTCATTGCCCACAAAGATGATCCACAGCCCAGCCAGGCTGCTGCTTTTCCCTTCCAGTTACCCAGCAGAGTCCACCTCCCACCTCACCTCCCTGTTCCCTTCCACAAATGAAAGCACAGAAAGAGAGTAGACAACAAGCCGCTCTTTAGACCATAAGCCTGACCAAAGCTGACACATACTGTTTTCTTCCACAGCAAATCTGTACTCACCACAACCTAACGCACAATTATATCCTTCCTCCTGCAGGGGCACTGGCAGCAACCCACCCTTGCCTTCTGTTCCAGGAAGGAGAGGATACCATCCACACAGAACAACTCCCTCTTTCTTACAGTTGCATCTCTTCTGCCTGTGGCAGCCAGCTGGAGGAGTGCAGAACCCATACAGTGGGAGCAGAAGTCCTCCAAATTGCTGTGATCCTTCACTGCCACATACATCCTGCAGAACACCAAGGTCTCTGCCAAACTATATGGGTGACAGGCTTTTAAAATAACTAGAAGGAAGTAGAAACAAGTGTTTCTTTCAACTAGTAATGTGAAGGGTAGCCTTGTTTTCATCTCAAAAGTGCCCTTAAAGGTTAATTTTGAGGAGATCTGGCAGCAGAACCAAGCGAGCACAACAGATGACAAGATATTATGTACGTGGCAGATTTTTGAATAGATAATAAGTGAAGAGCAGAAGAAGGACAACGTCTAGCCAGAAGCCATTACAGTAATTGAAATGAGAGATGACTAATGAATGAACTAAGTGTACCTACAACAACAACAAAAAAAAACAACACACCAAAACTCCCTATCTTCTGACCATAAGCATTTAGCCCAACAAATGAAGTTCAGCAGATCTGACAACTACACCAACATGCACACAGCTCCTGGTAAGGCCTTATCATCAGGGTCTGCTAGATCTTCCCAGTCAGTCTGTCCTCTGCTACAGCTGTAGCTGTACTACTACAGTTAGTAGTACTACACTGCTACAGCTGCTACACTGCTACAGCTGTATTTCCTTCTCTACTTGGCTGTTGCAATCTCCTCCCTCGTTCCACTAGCCTCTACTGTGCTCCCTTTCTAATCAAGCCAGAATGTTACAGCAAAATGCATCAACTGTGCTGGTTTGCCTCAGACCCTTCCCGACTCCTGGCCCTTTCTGAACAAATAACAAAGGGCACGTACAGTTCTGTCTGCTTTGCTCCTCTTACCTCTCTCCTTCCGTTCTGCCTGTACCCCACTGTCCTCTCTTGATGCCAACAGGTGCCATAACCTGCACACACTTCTGCACATCTCCTCTTCTTGCCTGAATTTTTGTCATTAATCCACTCTCATTGTGCTTGTTTGCACTGTCTTCTTTTCCACTATGCTTTCAGAAAGCACAGAAACCCAGCTAGGAGCACTGCCGTCATTATGAGAAGGGGAACTAAAGCAGAATTAACAACACATGCAGTCATTTTCACTGCTCAATCTGTGGCACTCAGTCACATCTCATCTCTGTTCTACATCTATGCATTGCCTATTTCACTTGCAGCCTCCTGGGAATAAGCTTTCACTGCTGGTTTGTCTCTAGGCACACACTTGGTGCTAGCACCAAATGCAGTGAGTGAGGACCTGCACCTTTCATCTCAAGTGATTTAGAATCAATTCATGCTTTGCTCACCAGTGAAATACAGAGCCCTCTGGGATGAAATACAGCAACTCTGTGCAACCATTTAGTGCAGGAAATTAAGATTATTGCTATCCAATTTAAACTACAAGAGAATTTTAGGTAGGCAGACTGTAATTACAATAGATTATGTCTGACTACATCCTACAGACTAAAATTCATAAAACATCATGCTTACTTCCCTGCAAATGGCTGTGACCTCCATTTCACCTCTCTCCACTAAAATCCTGCTTCTCCAGCATACAATGCACTCTACCTGCATGCAGGAGAATGTTGAACGCAGCTCTTCATTTCCCCAAACATTTCTGCTTTCCCAAAATGACATTCCTTGCTATTACCTGGGCCTGTCCCTAGAAGTTTACATGAAAGTTATATGAAACCATTCACGTATGGAAGAGGAATCATGAAGTTTGAGGAAAAAAGGGACACTCGCTTATCTGCATGCAACATTTGATTCACATTCATTTACAGAGCAGTCCAGATTGTACAGAACAATTTGGTACAACTTCCCATTCCTGCTACAGGACTATACCTTAAATACATAATATGGCTGGTGACACAAAAGGCAGCCAGGTGCCTGATTTCAAAGGGATATTTCTAACACAACAGGTCACGTTTAGCTGCATGACTGGTATCTGTCTCAAAAAGGATGACAGCCTTGGGACAGAACGCAACAGAAAATGACAAAATCAAAAGACAGCTCAAGGAGGCAGAGGAAGAGAACTAGTGTGGATGCTTACCTGGAGAAGACTGAGAGAAGCAGCAAGAAAGGAAAATGGATTCATGGAGGGAAATAACTGAAAAGAAACTACACATATAGAAACAAAGAATCATTTGGGTTGAAGGGAAAGATCACTTAATTCCAACCCAGTGCTTCTTAGCAGCGATGGTACAAGACAACAGAGCCAGTGTGCAAGGGAACTGATTAATGAAACCTGAGGGAGATGCTGTTAGACAAAACCAAACAACAGCAGCAGCCTCCAGAGTCTGAGCAACACTGTGGCTTAACATGACTGCTTGTGGCAACATCCCATCACCCTCCATCACGCAGACACCATGTATTAGGCTGAGAACTAGGGAGATTTGAGGAAGCAGCCCAAGATATCTTGTGCCCCTGAAGTTAGAGCCTTTTTACCTTACCATACAGACCTGGAATGGATTATCAGGGCCAAGAGAAGGGCTGGAAAACCTTACACAGCCTTTCCGTATATGCAGCAAGTGTTAACATCTAGAGAGACCCAAAGGATCTTTTGCCAGCAGTATCTCAGACACTTGGTTCTGCTCCAAGACAAGGATTTCTAATGGGATTCAACAGCATAAGGCACCTGGCTCAGAGCAGAGGAGCTGTTGTTGGGTATTACCCACTTGAGTCTGACAGCTCTGTCTGTAAAAATAAAATTCTTTTAGCCAATAATGTAGCAGTATTGTCTATGTCCTATCATAGAATTATCAGAAATTATAAAAATGGAATAAAGACAGTCACAACAGATTGCTTTTATTTACATTGTTTTTTAAAAAATGGCAATTACACTGAAAGAAGAATATGTATTTTTTTGTCTTGATATTTTTTTATTGCTCTGAAGCAATAAAAGGAAGAATTCAAAGTCTGCCAAACTGTTATAGCAGTGAGCAACTCTTCAATCCTGTGAGTAGCTCTAGAGAAGAAAAGAGCACTATGCCAGGCTGTGAGCACCTGTCATCCTTCCAGCACTGAGTGACAGACACAGCACTGCTTAAGGAAGTGCTCCTGTACAGGAATCAGCCAACATCTTGTGCATTTAGCAGATTTTTAAGTGGATGCAAAGAGCCACTCAGGACATAGAGCGATCACACAGACTGACAAAGAAGTATTCTCTGTGTGTCCAATTGTTTTTGCATTAAGAATAATTACTAAGAAAAAACAAGTCAAAGAGGCTTGAGGCAGAAATGCGTTTTAAAAGATGGCCCTTAGAGAAAGATCAGTCATGGAATATTTAAATTCATGTTACATTATGTACTTTTTTTTTTTTTTTTTTTTTTTTTTTTGTAATTAAAATAACCAGATAAAACTGAGAATACTGATTTTGAATGTCTTGATTTCTATTCCATAACCTCACGCTTGCTACTTGACAGTACACGGCTTGCCCAGTGTGGTCTTACCTCAGAAGTAAGCTTCAGACTTTGGCTCTGCAGCTACATATACATACAGATGTCAGTAATGAAGCCTGAAGAACTGATTTCCCTTCATACGAATCAAATGGCTTAAAGCATACCACAGCTTGGGTTAACGTAAGGGCTTTAAATTTATTGGGAAACAGAAATGCTTGCTTTCAAAATACTTTGAGTGTTCTTTATTCAGGTTTCCCCAAAGAGAGAAAAAAAACCTCTCATTCTTCAATACAATGGACAGTTTTTGAAATGGGTGTGCTTGTGTGCAGCAGTCAGCTGTCAGCTCCCAGCAAACACACACCTCACTGCAGAACTCAACTGGAGTTCCGAAGAACGCAATGGAGGCAAAGGTTCGCCCTTGGCTGACTGACACCATCCATCTGTGCCTCTAACAGCTTCCTCCTGTGTGCTGATTCTCAAGGCTCCTTTGAAATGACGTTTCCAGCCATGTTGTTCTGTTCTGTATAGCAGACAATTTACAGGACAGGAAAACCTGCCTCGTTCAAAGCAAAGGACCAGCTCCCCCCATTACTCTATGCTGTTCAAAAGAACAGAAGAGAGACTTGTATTTCTCAATGAAAAATAAAATCTCCAGTAAGAATACCATCTCCCTTGGCGTGGTTACTGCCATAAAACTGAATTACAGCAACCTCAGAATCAGGAAGCCTTCCCATTCTTAAAGCAGATTCTGATTTGAATTCAGAACGTGGCTTTGTACAGGAAAATTATACTTGCAGTTTTCTTTGTAAACATTCTCAGCTCTGTTGTAATAACTGTGGTAATGCGGATTGAATGCAGAAAATACATTTTATAATTGCATATTCACCCAGCTGCTAAAACAAAAAACGACCTACATGACATATGTACATGCTGGAGTGGCTTCATTTGTTACAATGTGTAATTTCTCAAGAAGCTCAGCTTTAGATGATCTGCACTGCTGAATCCCAAAAACGCAATCTGCTCTGTCCTTACTTAAGGACTACATCTTGGAATACATGTGTGAACTATTAGCAAAGACAACTGCCTGCCTTTATTTTAGCACATTTGCGCCGTGTCTTGTGGCAAATGCATCAGCGATGCACAGTATTAAAGCCATTAAAACAGCATCTGAAGCTTTCTTCCACGAGTACAAGCCAAAGTCAATATCCTACCAGTTAAATAATGCATTTCATAATTATAGCAAATATTTAATTTTCAAACAAATATCCTTTTGCTCTCTCAGAATCAACAGCAGCAGTTAACACAACGGTTCACAATTAATAAGGACCCAGGAGGAAAAAAAAAAAAAAAAACCTCACACAATCAGTACTTTCCATCTACGTACTTATAAAATGGCATCAATTATTCATGAAATATTTACTATTGGGAGTGGTGAATATGACAATCGTCCCTGGAGGAGAACCAGTCAGTCCTCTTTAAAATGATGCAGGCAGCACAGTTCAATTCTAAAAACATTACATAGAGATTAAGGGACATTTTTAAGTCCTGAACGTTCTGCATGAAAATATTGTTTCCAACTACCTGAGCATCAATTTTCCTAATCGATCAGCCCCCACACCCTCCTTTAAAAGCAGACTTACAGCCAGTGTGAATCATCCTGCAATTCTCAAGAGATACAAAATCTTACTGAAACCTCTCTCTGATGCAGTAGTTACCTAGCAGCAAAGCCTAGCAACCCTGTAGTATGAGATTAATCCCAGAGTGATCATCATGAAGTAATATCTAAAAGACATTTTCCTTTAAGTATGCCATCCAAAGGTATATAAAAACGCAACATAAAAATGCTCAGACATCTGACTCTTCAGATATATAAATTAGAAAAGACTACCCAACAGCATGACAAGATACTTATTTGCTGTTCAGTGAGGTCTTACCTCAGCACTCCCAACAAACACAGAAAGAACCCAGATCTACAGAGAAACATGTACAATGTTTAGATGCAGCTAAGATATTCAAAATCCTCTCTTATCTACAATTTAATGCTTGACAGATGAAAACCGTCACAGTCCAGAGAAATGAAAAATTCTGCAGACACTGGTTCTGCTCCATTGCTCAGAACTGAAGAGCTAGCAGGACACTCAAATCCAACACATTCCCCTCCCTCCTCTACTACAAAGTGGTATGTATTTCCAGATCACATTAGTCTGATCAGGATGCATTCAGAAGACAGCCACACACATCCTGTTTGTTCTGAGCTGCCCATCTGTACCTTATCCGACCATACAGCGTGTATCAATCCCAAACAGGATAGGGACTGCACTCAGTGACTGGTGGTGAGGCCCTGGCACAGGCTGCTCAGAGAAGCTGTGGGAGATGTTCAAGGCCAGGTTGGATGGAACCTTGGGCAGCCTGACCTTGTGGGGGGCAGCAGACTGGGTTGGAACTATACCGCCTTTAAGGTCCCTTCCAACCAAGACAATCTGAGAATGAAAAGGAGTATCAGGAGAACTGACATCTTTACTGAAACCTTCTATTTTTCCTCAGATTAAACTTAAGGCTTTCCAAGCATATCTGTACCTGCACTGAATAGCGTGGTCACCTTGCTATTTGAAAATGCTTTGGTGTCCTTGGGTAATATGCCAAATTAACAGCACTGGAAAACTAGTCTTCTTTCATTAAGAAAGCTGACAAGAAAACGTGAGCTGAACTACTAACTTTCCTGCTTTATTTTAATTGTACAGCACAAGAAAACCTGACCTCCAGTGAGAAGTGGAATTGGCAATACAATCAGTTTGTATCAGTTTGGCATCAGTTAAGCGCTCAGCTTTCCTCTAGAACTATCAAAGGAAATAAGGAGGATGTGGACACAAATGAATAAATGTGAGTCAGATTCCCACTGCTCTGCCATCTCCCAGTGATCATCATCATCAACCTGCATGATACAGCTGGACCACAACATCGATAGCGAAGAGCTCTGTATGCATCCTTAAGTCGCCAAGTCATACATCTCACTATAAGAAATACTTAATGGACAGTGACAGTGCTTTTAGGAGAATGGTTTGGCTACAGAGAAAAATAGTCAGCCAACAAGGAAACATACACTCTTGTGGTTCTTACCCTTGAACAGAAGCTTTGTCCATGCTGTAAGCCATACCTATGCATGCCCCAAACAGATCCCAGTCAGCCTCACTGTGACACACACACACTGACAGCACTGCCCCCAAGCCCGACTGCCAGGAAGGGTTAGAACCAGTAATACTGCAGGGCTTCCTTCTGCTCCCAAATGTTAAATACCCACTGGATATAAGTATATATTATAACGTAACTATTTTATCACTGAATTCCTTTTTCTCTTTTCCAGTTATGCTCCAAACAGCCACTCTGTTACAACCACTCTTGACTACAATCAGCAATTGATTTTAAGCATTTCGTGGAGCAGAACTGAGTCACTAACATATTTAGCTTGCATTGCTTACCTTAAATCTTTCTGAAACCCCTTCAGTGATGCTGATTGTGAATTCAGCTATTTTTGGAGTACGGAATTTTCCTTTCTTGCGATCAGGTTCATACTCTGTTTTCGTTTTGACCACAACCTTTAAAACAAGTAAAAAAAATATATATATATATCAAAAAGCTGTCAGTACCTTTTGAGCACATCTTCAGGTGCACCTGCCATGTTTGGAATAGCATGAAACAAGCCGTGGGAATCTTATTTTACTCTTTTATTTGCTGACAAGCACATTAAACACAACACTGTTTTTTTTTCCTCCTCCAGTTTGTGCAGTTCTCCTATGGAGGCTTCAAGCTGTTAGTTATTTCTGTCTATTTTCTTCATAGTAATCAACAAAATTCTCTCAAAAAAAAATCTTGATGGATCTAAAGGAAGACTTGCTATGCAACACTTTCAGGAACATTCAGTTTTTTCAGCTGTTCTGTTATTGTGCTGCAAGCACCTATTTAGTTCAAATCCAAATCACAAGACTTTCAGACTGTTCAAAGCAGGAAACAGCCATCTCCATTAGTTTCAGAAGTATGCTCCACAGCCATGTTCTCCAACAGCACGATTCTGAACTTCAGAGAAGTGGAATGACCTAGCTAGATGCAATTTGGTACGTGCCAGACAAAAGCTTTTGGCACTGTAATATTTAACATCTCAGATAACTTTTAAGTTACTAGCAACAAGGAACACACAAACCCTTACGTGATAATGAGATTTCTCAAAACGCCCAAGGCTCTTCAATTTCAGTTTATTCCTTGCTGTGAGCTATTTCCTCAAAATATCATTGAGCGTCTTACCTGTATTCCAAAAATACTTGTGTCAGTTGTACCTCAAATACTCTCCTAGGCATTCTCATCATACAGAATTTTCATACACCTAACCTACTTGCCTCATTTCTTTTCTTCTACAATTTTTCAGGATCTATTTTTGAAAGCATCTCAAACAAAACGGGCAGTTTATTGTACTGGCAGCTCCATTGTGGTTTGGCCAATTTTCTCTATTGTTCCCAAGAACAAATATTGAGACTTCACACTTTCAGATTTTTAGAACCAGATGCTGTCCTTGGAGCAGCACATGTTGTCAGTGGCAACTATTCATAAATTAAGACTGTAATAAGCTGTGATAAATTAAGATAGACTTACAGGTAGCCACTTACTGAAATTAAACCTTTGGGTTCTCCTTTGCGTGACTGTAGCACAAAGCCTATTAGATACTTTTATAAAAGCACGCAGACATAGAACACAGGGAAAAGAGTTTCTAAATCTATTTTGAGCTATAATTAATAAGATAATTATAACTATGTTACTTTTCAATTACCCAGCAGCTTCATGGAAGCAAACGGTCTGGAACATCTTTTTAACATTATACTTCTTCCCCTTTATGTTGCATAATTCTCAGGCAACTCAAGTCACTTTCAGCTGACACTGAACACAGAGTTCTATCTGCTTGGTTATGTAATGTCTTCTTTTGTTTAACATACCTAAATATGAATTTAAATCAGTTCATCCGTTTAATTTAGAAGCTGTCAAAACCATCAAATCCTTGGCACTACAGTCACTACTACCCAAGAAGTTAGGCTTCGCTGCCATACCAGAGCCTTGTAAGTGAATAATAAGCACAGATATATGAAGGACGTATTCCATTGTACATGAGAGTCTTCATACTTCAGAATTTGTTCCATTTGTCAATCTTGACAACCCTTTTGCTGTTTTTCACATCAGCTACTCTACTACTGCCTTTGTGTCTGAAGCAGCCACGAAGGACACAGTGACACGACTAACCATGTCACAGAAGGAAGCCAATAAGACCAATAAATGCATGCTTCTATTTTTCCTCATTGTTCGCAAAATGAAAGGAAAGCTATCATACCGATAGACAATGCAAAGTGCAGAGGAGCCAACTGAATGTTTCCTTAAGCTTCCAGCTGAGGTGTACGTGTGCTATGTTGAAGGCAAATCTTGCAGAGGCAGGAGGAGCTCTGCCTGCTCCGAGCAGGTGCAGATGGGAGGCACAGTCTCCTATGTTTACCACAGCTCCACTCAAGGTAAACCTATTATCCCACACGGTCCCAAAGCAGCCTTCTGCTTAACAGCATGGTAACACAACAGATTCCTCTGGACGCTGTTCTTGGTAATCAGTTCTATGCAGTCACCAGTTGGCAGGCATATCAGACACAGTCAGACTTAACTTGTTTGAAAGCCTTAGGGTGCAATTTTGTCCTCGGTTTGAAGATTTACACCCATGTAACGAAGGACAGAAAATGGGCCCTAAGGCTCTGTAACAGCTGTTATGGCTTATTGTATTTATGCCTGCCAACTGGTCACCACACACAGCACAACGATGCTGATAGGAATTAAAATGGAGGTCATAAATGTGTTTGTGTTGCCTATGAGCAACACTCTTCTGAGGCAGACTTGAAAAGCTGAAATGCTTTACCCTGAGGTAGGATTATGTGATTTTTTTTTTTATTATTCTTAACTATGAGTAGCACATACCCATCACTTTATCTAAAAGGAGAACTGAGCTCTTGGAGGACACAATGCCAAAAGCAAAAATCAGAAGGAACATATTACCAATCATTTTCCAGTTAAATCTTGGATTTAAAAAACACAAAGCTTTTTTTGTTTTTTGCCAGATGCATGTGGAAAATGCCCCAGCCAGTCTCTTACTGAAATACCTGAAAAAAGTATCCTACCACTGTATGCCCCACCCATAATAACTCCTACTGAAACATCTGAGTGAAATGAATATATTTATGGATTACTCTGTCATACTCCTGAATCCCTGACACTCGAGCCATGAGATGAGGAATGTAGATACATGATTCCCTTCCAACCTGTGAGCAGCACCTCAAGCAGTCCTTTCCAGCCACAGAGCACCTACATCACCTCCATTTAGAGATCTGGGGCCAAATAAGTTGCTAACCTGAACTAGTACTTGATCTAGTCATGGACAACCCTGCCCACAGTGGAAGGACTGGAACCAGACGACCTCTGAGGTCCCTCCCAACTCAAGTCATTGTATGATTCTCATAGGAAGCTCAGTGATCTACTCTCATCCCAGCGCTTCAGGCTGAGTGGGGCTAGTGGAAGTTCTACCAAAGCACAAACGGAACATGGAAGTTCTATATGGCCAGTCTGCCTATGTTCATCGTGCAGAGACAAAGCTGTGTTCACAGCCCACCAGGGGGGCTTTTCAGGGAAAATTCCCTTCCCTTCAAAGGGTGCACAGCACCTTCCACATACTAACGAGTCAGACATTGAAAAGGGATGAAACAATACAGCACAGAACACCTTGCATTTGTCTGCTCCTACATTTCATACAGAAACCCAAACACCTCACAAATGCTCACATTCCCCACTACGTTTCAATGTAAATCACCACTGCTGGGTTGCCGGTAGCTCCGCTGTTCCCCAGAGGGGCTGCCACTGCTCAGAACACGGCGTACTGCCCGGTGCTCCGAGCCGCTTGTCACACGTAACCCATTCTTTGTTGTTTGCCCAGGATTTGGGTGTGATTCTCCGGGGTGGAAGCTGAAGGCACCGTACCTTGTCGGGAGGCGGGAACTGGAGCTGATTGACGTCCAGGGGTGTGATCAGGGGGATGGTGTCGAAGCCATCCTCCAGAAGGGGCTGCTTTGTGCTCTTCTCGCTGAAATTATTCCCCAGTTTCACCATTCTTCCAGGAATGAGGGGTTTTCTGCAAGCAGACACACAGACAAACGCACAGCGGAGCGGTGTGTCAGCGAGCCGGGCTCCACCAGCCCCTTCCACAGCCCCCGAAACACACGGCGATACGCACACACGCACACACACGGGCTGGTCTCCGCGACTTGAGCACGTCTCAGTACGTGAGAATTACGACCGCCGCTTAAAATAAATAAGTAAATAAATAAATAAATAGCGCACAGCCACCGCGGCGCGTTATCACGATCCCGGCGACCGCGGTGCGGCATCGCCCTCAGCCCCGGCCCCGCCCGGCGCCCCTCGCCATGGCGGCCCCGCACACGGCAGTTCTCCCCCCGGCCCTCCTTGGGGGCGGCGAGGCAGCGCCCCGCCACTCACCGCCGCGGCTCCCGGCCCTTCCTCAGGGGGCGGCGAGGCGTCGTTCCGCCGCGGCCCGCGCAGCGATGGCGGAGCGGGCGGCGAGGCGGCGGCTGTCCCTCGGCGGGCAGAAAGACTCAGCGCCGTGACGCAGCCGCCGCGTGGCTCAGGGCAGCTCTGGAGCAGCACAAAGGGGCCCCGCGGGGATGGGGCGGGCGGGCGAGCAGGCGCTCCCCCCAGCCGGCTACTGGCGCAGCGGCAGCAGGTGGAGCGGGCGGCGGTAGGACGGCACTGCACCGCCCTCTGCGCCCCTCCCCTGGCGGAGCCGCGCGGTGCGGCGGCCCTTGGGTGCGGCTGCGGGGCGGCCCCGGGGAGGGGAAGCTGCGCGCGGCGGGGCGCCGGCTGTTTGTCACCGGTCGGCGGCTTTGTCCTTAGGCTGTCGCCTTTTATGTCTTGTTGTCCGCTGAAGCTTGTAGGGGGAGGACAAACCTGCTTTTCCGGAGGGTGAAACGGGTTTTCGTTCCCCGAAGGAGGGGGAAAAATTGTAACGGACGAGTGGACGCTGGCCTCAGGGTAAAGGTACATTGCAGAGCTTTTCAGCCCCGGCGATGAGGACATCTTATGAGCCGTCACAGATAAATAAATAAATAAAAAGCGCTTCACGTTCTCTGTGCTCCTGCCTCCCATAACCCACGGCAACCAGCATGCTGGTCTTGCAGCTCCAGGTGCATCCCTTCAGCACTCAGAGGGAGAAGGGCTGCGGGCAGCGCAACAGGTGCGGGTCCCACAGCCGGGCTGTGCAAGGATTCGTTCCTTGTTTTGCTGCCTGGAGAAAGCCGGCAGCGCGTGCTTACTGCATGGAAGGCCAGCGGTGTGCTGGGCTGCATCCAAAGAGGGCTGTGCCGGCAGGTGGTTGTCCCTGCTGTTGGCGCTTATGGGGGCCAACCTGCAGCACCTAGGCCTGGAGCACCCAGCACAAGGATGTGGAGCTGTTAGAGTGGGTCTAGAGGACAATGTGAAGACGATCAGAGGGCTGGAGCCCTTCTCCTATGAAGAAAGGCAAGGGGAGCTGGCCTTGTTCACTGTGCAGAACAGGGAGCTCCAGGGACACCGCATTGTCCCTTACGGTACTCTGGGGAAGCTTATAAACAGCAGGGAAACTGACTTTTTACCTAGGTGGATCCATGATTGGCAGCAGCAGCTCCACGCCTCTGTAAACACAAGGTCTCTAGGCCCCATCAGTGCAATCTTTTCTTCATGTGGTGTCCACAGAGATGGGGGATGCCAGAGATACTTCAGGAGTGAGCCCTTCTGCCTTGAAGACAGAATTTCATGTCTTCAATGGGAATTTAGGATATTCTGTGCAGAGCATAGCAAAACTGTTTAGTGTTGTTTTTTTGCTCTCCAAAAATATATATTATGTTTTTAATGTGAGAATTGTATTTTGTCTGAAAATCACCTTAGGCATCTCCACCCTTTTTTGTCTGTCTCGTAGAGTATTCAGCAGATATTAAGTGTACAAACAAAACATGAGTTCAGTTTTGGTGAATGTGGCGTAGAGTTAATGAAAAAAAAGGTGTTCAGCATCTTATTGCTACCAAAATAAATCTTGATTTCAGCATTTGAATTGGTTTGTTTTTTTGTTTTTTTTTTTCCTCTCTTAAAGATATTCTGGTTCCCATAATACGTTTTCCTTTTTTTTTTTCTTTTTTTTTTTTTCTTTTCTATTTGGCAAATAATTGATATTTTTTTCCTCCTTTCTTTCTCAGAAGGCACAAAACAAATGGATTTTTCTTCATCGGATTTTTTTGTTTGTTTGTTTTTGCCATAAACATCACAGATAATGCTAGTGTCATCTGCACAGATTTGGGAAGTACACCAAATTGGTTAACCTGCTGGCTGGAGAAATGCCTCTGCAGCAGAGAAATAGACCCATGGGAAGATAAGAAAAATAACTAACAAAATGTTCTCAATGGAATACCATACTTCAAATATATAACTGAATACTACCAAACCCATACAAAACATTTTGAAGGTAGAAATTGATTGTTTTGCCTCTTTGCTTACTGAGCAAGCAGTGCTGTTTTGTTGTTGATCATATGACACTGAGGACTGTGAAACAGTGCATTTACCCAAACATGTTAAGAGTAGCAGCAACTATGTCCCCCTCAGTGCTGTGTTTTTGTAGTCTTTATTGTTCAGAGCACACTGACCCATGAGTCTGGCAGATATGGCCAGCATTTAGCTGTTAGCTCTCAATACATACTGATTTCTTATGTTCCAGTTATTACATCAAAAACGCATTCCATCTTTTAATTTTTTTTCTGCTTTTTACCCTGAGGCCAGTAGTCTGTGATGCAAGAGGCCCAGATTCTGCTGCTAGCTGGGGAATAAAGCAAGTCGTGTCTCTGACTATGGATTTTCTTGTCTGTCTCATTTATTTCTACCATCAGTGTTCTGATCTGAGTAAATAAAGTGTAAAACAAGCTTGTCTTACTTGAGGAGCAATTCATAAATCGTACTAGGATATGTTAAATAGAAAAAAATGTTACTCATTTTATGTGGAACATGACACCTCTAAGTGGAAGTGAAGGGGTTTCTCAAAAACAAGAAGCAATTCACTCAATTTTGGCAGTACCCTTGTCTTACAAACAAACGTTCTTGAAGCTATCAGATGAATAACCAACGGATGGATGAGTGTAATCCATTCATCTGCCTGTGAAGCCATTCAGAATGCCAATGACATCAAAAGTTCAAGTGATGATCAGAAATACATTTGACAGCAGACTGTAGGGAGTAAAAATAACACAGCAAATGTTCTAGCAAGTTGGCTGACTGGGTCCTTTTATCTTCAGCTGTTGTGATTTTATTGTTGGGCATTTCTGTTGGCTGCAAAAGCAATGGGCTGTTGGGTGTTAAGCTTGTGCCTGAGAAAGTATCGCAATCAGGTTAAGATGAATGGAGGTAAATTTCTGCCTTAACTGATGAAAATGCCTCATCAGTAATTTGAGCGTACTCACGAGGAACTTGTTTAGTATCTCTTGTAGAGAAAAGGAGAATTTTGAATAGTGTCAGTGGTGCAAGTTATTGCTCTCTTTGGCACTGTGCATTTCTTTGATGACAACCTGCCTTTTAGGCTAATTAGCCATGACTTAACCAGTTTCCTAACTTTACAGAGAAATCCTTACATAGCATTTTTGTTATTACACAGCTCCATACTGCATTATTGCCACTTCATACTCCTCCAAACAGCTTACTGCCTTTCCTTTTAAGTGCAATCCACCCTCTATATGAGAATAAGGCAGAGGTCATGTGTGCCACACGAATGTCTGTGACTAGTGTCTCCACTTGCTAGGTATGTGAAATAAGCAGTCAAGAAGATTCCATATCTGGTACCAAATAACCAACCAATGTTTTAGTAAATTCTCATATATACTTTTTTTCTTCTAGGAAAACTACTACATTTCCTAGACAGAAGTTGCTGCCTTAAGGATGCAGAAAAATAAAAATCATTGTAAAAAATATTTGGAAAGTAATGTATCTTCAAAACAAGCACAACTCTTTCCTCCAGGGCTCCTACTGTAGGTACACTTTGCTATGGTTATTCAGTGAGCTGTAAATTCTGGGAAAGGACTGTCCTCCTCTCTCTGCTTACTAAGAGTAACTCAGTTCCAGGTGCTTAACAAACAAAGCACACCCTTGCTGAGGCACTTAAGGCTCATGGACTGCGGTCTTTATCTATGTTAGTGATCTCTGAGGATACGGGACAGCACCAAATGGGTTTTGACTGGTATATGGGCAATGAAAAAAGCAGCCAACACACAGAACTAATGACTTAGCGGCTGGCCTCGTTAGGTCCAGCTGTACCCTGATTTACTTAATCTGAGACCTTCGTGGGCTCAGTGAGGTAAGAATTCAGTGTGTATCATCAGCCCTCCTAAGAAAGCAGCTTTTTTTTTTTGCATTACCATCAAGCAGATGTAGTTCTTCTGAATGGAAAAAACAAAACAAAACAAAACAAAACCAGGAAGTGATGGTAACCTTGTGTCTGAAGGCACCTGGTCCAGGAAATGATGCAGGGATCTTCTTTACAGGCAGTAGGCATGTGTCTCAGAAAAGAAGGAGAAAGATGAAGTGCATGGGACGGCCTGTATATTGACTCACACTGAGAACACATGCCAAGCCTTCCTTTAGCAGCAGAGCTATGAACCATTGAGTTTTATACATACAGAAATGGAGGAATGTAAATTGGTAAGTGCCGTAGAACCAGACTTCGGATTTGTCAGAGGCAAAAGCTCTGGAAATTACAGGCTTTGTCTGCAAAATATTTTTTTTCTAAGAAGGGGGAAAAAAAATTGTTAACCAATTCTTTGTGATTACACATTACTTTATTCAGGTTGGCCACATCTATTTTTTATTTTTTTTTCCTCTGGGCTGTAGTTTATTGACACAATCAACTGAAATGGCTCTTTTGGAGCCATTACAATTTATTGTGTTAGCGCAGCTGAAAACACTTCAACATACCACGTGTCATGCTTTGTCAAGTTATCAGTTAATGCTTCCAAATCAGGATTTGGAACAGTGCTGATGCAGTGCAATGCAGCAATTGCTTGTGCAACATAAGCATTCATTAAAAGGGACAAACTCTTCTGGAAGAAATAAGTGCTACCTATTGTTGTTTGTCAGGTGTCCTACCAGTTCATTTCCTTGAAGCATCAAGTGGTTCAGCATCTGAGGTTGCTTGTATGTGAGAATGTCATTATTCCTTTGCTATTTACAAGCTGACAAACCACTCGTCCACTTTAACAAAGTCTTCAAAAATTATATGAAACTTTTAGCAATGGGGAAATCTTACGGCTCCTTCAGTCCCTCCCCCACTCAGTAAATCTGCACTTGGACAGTAATGAAGCTAAAACTTAACTTCTTACACAATGAAATATGTCCCTCTTCATTAGCATTTTATTCTCTGATTTGTATATGTGATAGGCCTATGTGTGAACCACTCTAGAATTGTTCAATTCACACTGAAATGGCTGTGAGAATGTATAGTGGACGTGTGCATCAACAAAAGAC